CTTAAATGATTTTAGCAAATGGCTGCAATATAACAAAGAGTGAAAAATTTAAGGGGGTCTGAATACTTTCCGTACCCACTGTATATATATATATATATACTGTATATTTCGGTTGCCGAACATTCGGTGCATCCCCAGTTAAGAAATTTGTATTTGTAGTTGCCAATAAATATTATATTCACTGAGCCATTACTAAACTCCTTCAGAACTGTGAGAGATAAACAGACACTGCATTTTCATAATAGAAATGTGCCAATGTCCAGTGAAAAGTTCTGAAATCATCAAGGGACACAAAGTGTCTGATCTGTACACACATATAGTTCCTAAAGGATACAGTTAAAATCAAATAAAAATAAAAATCCTATGAAATGTCTCTTATTTTTGCAACTTCATATCTCACAACTGTGACTACTTACTAAGAACTGTGATTTCATTTCTTGCCATTGCAACTTTATTTCTTACAACTGACTTAATTTCTCACAATGTGAAATGTTTTTTTTTCTTCTTCTTCTCTTATTTTCTTGTGTTTCCCCCCCAAACAATTACCTATTATTTTTTTTTTATCTAAGGCAGAAACGGGATTTCATATTAACAGTTATATCCATGTGTGGGGGTTTTAACTATAACTTTTAACAGTTTTGCCAAAAGAAACGTTTTACAATAATTACCTCTTTATAATTAGTAAGTCGCTAATTTTGTATATGTGAAAGTACTAAATGACTTGTTTGTTCAAGTGATAACTATTAAAAAAATTAAATACGATTCAAGTAAATCATACATTGGCAACTTTTCAACTGATTTGAAATGTAACTGATACATTAACGCTTTAAACTGTACTTAAATATGTACTTTTTCTTAATTTCAAAAACTTAGAACAACTACACTCTTAAAATTAAAGGTGCTTCAAAAGGTTCTTCAAGTGATGCCATAGAAGAACCATTTTTGGTTCCACAAAGAACCATTCAGTCAAAGGTTATTTAAAGAACCATCTCTTTCTTACCTTTTTGTAATCTGAAGAACCTTCTTTCGCCACAAAGAAGCTTTTGTTAAACAGAAAGGTTCTTCAGATGTTAAAGGTTCTTTATGGAACCATTTAGACAAAAAGGTTCTTCTATGGCATCGTGAAGCACCTTTATTTTTAAGAGTGTAGTGTGATCTAAAATATATTAGAGTACATTATGTACTTGACTGTTCAAACAGATGTTGCTGTTGATTTCACTCACTCTCCTGCCATTCTGGATTCTACCGTTTACCAGATGTTCACACGAAACATTGTGTCTTCAATTAACCCTTAAGAATCCTTCAGATTAAAGTCTTATTTTCTAGTCGGGACACACACTCTCATCATGTGATGCGTTTTTAAATCCCATCCTAACTGCTCCCACGTAATTTCCCATCCTCTCTATAATGTTTATTCTATAAACAATACAATCTTGTGTTTACCATCAGAGCAGAGGTGCAGCAGTGACGTACTGTATGCACTGGTGTTGCGGTTTTCTCACTAGAACACAAGTTTTAGTTTGGCCTGCATAAGGTTCATGGCTATACCACTCTCATGTCTTTTACTACTGTCCTCGCCAATTAAGGGACAAAAAAAAAAACTTTAAATAAATATAAAAGACTTCTTTGGCATCTGAATTATGTCCAAGGTAAAAGATGGATGAATACTTTTGTTTGAATAGCTGCCCTGCCATGATCATCCAACCATGAAAGTACATTAAATTATTAATTACTATTAAAAAATCATTAATAGTTAAACGACTTATGTATAACGTGATGCAATGCAATGTAAAGAGTTTAAAAAGAAACCACTGAATTAAGGCTTTCCTACTGCACTGCTCCTTAGTGAATGTTCATGAAGCCTAAAACAGCCGTCAGAGAGAAATCAAAAGAATAACACCAAATCTAAAATGGATGTCTCACCTTTCTGGCTGTCGATGACAAAGTTGCCCTCCTCATTGCCTGCTGTAATTTTGTATGTGATCCCATCTCCATCTGGGTCCTTGGCCAGCACCGTTGCAACCAGAGTGTTGGGCCCTGCGTCCTCAGAGACAAAGGTTCGATACCTGTTTTTAAACAACAAACATATTTCTTTCAAGATATCTTTCATGTTAAACTCACCACTATACCATGTTGTCATTACAGCAAAACAAACACATTAAGGTCTCTATGTTAATTGAATGCAATAGCATTTCCATACGAGACGAGCTTGAATGCTTACAATACTGCTTGGTTAAATAGAAGCTGCAAGTATTCATATCTGTGACCATCATTATACATACAGTGTTTACCACGGATTTGTTGACTAACAGGATGAAAAGGTGGCTACTAGTATACAGCAAAAGAAAAAAGCTGCATGTGGTATGGATAGCAAATAGAACAAAGAGGAACATCTAAATTCAGTTTTTAGTGCCCAGTTAGATTCTGAAAATTATTTAATGCCTTTAGTAGCATGTTGTTGCCATGTCTCAGTTATTGTAAAAGATGTGACATGTCTGGCACATGCTCTATGCACATGTTCGCCAATCACAACACACTGGGACAGCTAACCAATCAGAGAATTTTCAATTAATGTTCAGGTAATGTTAATGGTTTTACCCATTTCAGTGGTGGCCAAAATTGTGATTTAAAATCAGTAAACAAGTTTCAGGGGGGATCATGTCTTCTTTAGGGAGTCAGTTTTGATGCTTTATTATTAATGATTATTATTATTATTATTACTCACACAATTAAAACTATATATATATATATATATATATATATATATATTTGTTGCTTAATATTTTTTTTTGTGAGAAAGGCCAAAAGAACAGCATTTATATGAAATATTGAAATATTAATATTATATGAACGTCTTTTGTGACTATGTTTCAACTGTCAATTCTGATCAATAAAAAGCATCCTTGTGCAACTGTTGTGCATCTGTTCACTATTGACCTCTACAATATGCTACACATTATCTGTGCATGAAAGAAAATGAGATACAGAAAACCCATTATTATTTTGTGAATATAACAAATAACGAGTGGGGGGAGTGAGTTAGACTACACCTCCAATGTTCAATAATAGATTTCCCACCGAAAAAGAAACAGTTGAACTAGTTCGCTCAAGGGGCTGTTAACAGACAAAGCCAACACATTTCATGCTAAGCCTTTCTTGCCAAAACCACACTCACACTTCATCACATCTGAAACAATGCTGTCAATGGAACAGCACCTCGTGGCGACAAGACAAACAGTGCCTCCACATCTGCACAGCGTGCTGTCATTTGAGAAGAGAGAAAAGCGCTGACAGACTGCGAGATACTTCCATAGTCTCAGCCACCATTCATTATTATTCAGCCGCAAAGATTTCATTTAAGTCACATAGGACGAGTGGGGGGAGTGAGTTAGACTACACCTCCAATGTTCAATAATAGATTTCCCACCGAAAAAGAAACAGTTGAACTAGTTCGCTCAAGGGGCTGTTAACAGACAAAGCCAACACATTTCATGCTAAGCCTTTCTTGCCAAAACCACACTCACACTTCATCACATCTGAAACAATGCTGTCAATGGAACAGCACCTCGTGGCGACAAGACAAACAGTGCCTCCACATCTGCACAGCGTGCTGTCATTTGAGAAGAGAGAAAAGCGCTGACAGACTGCGAGATACTTCCATAGTCTCAGCCACCATTCATTATTATTCAGCCGCAAAGATTTCATTTAAGTCACATTGCACAGCACACTGATGGACTTTTTTGTTGTGACAGAGTGTGAGACATTTCCTCTTGATCTGAAAAGGACAATGATGGTGCATCAGAGCGGCTAAAGGTCAACTGCCCTGATGCCAGATTGACAATGTGTTCTGGATTCAGCCAGAAAATGAATCTGGAGCTTCTTTTGTAGAAAATGGTTGCTTGTGTGCAGGCTGTGAATACTAATACTTCTGTGCAACCTCAAGATAGAATGAAAGCCAGTTTGGCTAAATCTGTTCATAAATAAATGAATAATCAAAGCCACTGAGGCATCCAAAGGTAGAACTTCTGAAAGACTGAAGCAAACATAAATCAAGATTCCGGGAAACAAAGTTAGCTTAAACTCCCATAGTCAACGAGCATCCATTTTTCTTTCTCCAGAGTGTGAATTTGAATGTCTGGTTTAAAAGGATAGATCACCCAAAACAAAATGTCTGTCATCATTTACTCACCCTCATGTCATTGCAAACCTGCTCTTTCTTTTTTCTGTTGAAGGCAAAAGGTGAATTGCTGAAGAATATGCTGGCGATAAAGAAAGTGAATGAGGACTGGGGCTGTCAAGCTCCAAAATAGAGAGAAAACACACACACATACACAATTAAATGAACATAAAAACCTAAGTGTCATGAACAGAGCTCTTTGACACGTTCATGTGTAAAGATGTTTAATCTTCGAATTAGTCAAATCTTTCCGAAGAATCAGTTGATCCAGTTCAACAAACAGGTCTGTATGATTCATTTACAAATCTAATCTTGTTCTTGGGTTTATCTCAATGATTCAGCTCACTGGAGGGAAAGATCATATGGGGAATGTTTTCATCCAAGCTGCGACCTAATTTATGCAGAAAGGCATAAATATTGGAAAAACTGTTTGCAAATAAAGCAGTGTTTCCATCCAATGCATTCAAGATAACAAAATATTGTATTAAATGTAATAAATGACTAGCATTTTAGAGTGTACAGACAAAATGCACAGACAAACTAGGTTAAGGCAACGTCACTTTTTGAAGTACATACAGGAATTTATTCAGTAATGCATTTCAGTTGTTTTTTATATGTATGCATTCTCACTGAAGAACAACAACAACAAATCTTCAAGCAAGATTATTATTTGCATCTTGATGCGTCCACTCAACATTTGCTTTAAGATATCGGCCAAATTTTCTTATCAGGCCGATACCGATAACAGAAAAAATGAGCCGATATGGGCCGATACCGATATGGTGGCCGATATATCGTGCATCCCTAGTTTCATTTGTAAGAAGTTATGCTGCTGGTACAGAGAGCATTTCAGAGCATTTGAAGTAAACGCATCGCATCTGAGAGAGTTGGTCTTTGTCGAGCATGGTGAACTGATAGATGACTATCCACTTGTGTGCTACTTGGTTGGGACCGTTCAGATGCTGACTTTGAAAAGATACATTCACATAGCAACATAAAGCATAAAAGAAAGTTTATATTCCTTTGAGTATAAATATTCTTCACAGTACTTTTCAGTACAAATTACAACAAATCTTGACACTTAAAAATGCTTTAATTGTTTTTCCATTGGCTTACAGAGGCTTGAGTAGACATGACTTTCAAAGGCTGAACAGAACAAGATAACTTTAAGAGTACATAGTGCAATACCCCCCCCCCCCCCCCCCCCCCCCCAAAAAAAAAATTAACCATCTAAATGCACCTATTGTCTTGTCATTATCCTTTGTGTGATTAATTTGTCATGTGTCCTCTCTTTAAGCTGATAATCAGGGCAATGGCTGGACCTGTGAAACTTAGAGTAATTCTAGCTGACAATGATGCCAGGAAGTTGATCCTACCTGAAGGGGTGCCAAGTTCAACTGAGGGCCTCACACAAATAATCACTGAAACATTTTTGCTTAATGGGGATATCCGCTTGCAGTATAAAGATGATGATTTTGGTGGTGAGTTTATTAATTTGACATCAGTAACTGATGTTCAAGACAAAGGAACCTTAAAGGTCATCTTTAAGCCTACAGGACAAAACCAAGAAAAAGTCAAGGAAAGTTTGGGTTCTTGTGAGTCTCCAGAATCAACTTCTCACTCAACACTGCACAAGTCAGATGATTCTGCATCGGTCTCCTCATTGGAAACTGATGACACTGTCCTTTTATCTTCCCCTGATCCTTCTCCTGGGTCAGTGCAATCCATATCAAGATCTACCACGTGGCCACTTGTATTCCCGATTCCACGCTTCTCTTATGACTCCGAAATAATTCTAGGACAAGCCAATGCTGAATACCATGCCAATGGAACTCGTCTTAGTCCATCTACAAAGCTGAAATCACACATTCTAGAAAGCCTAGCTGAGGAAATCATAAAATTCAAAGCATATCCAACCGATGTAGACCTTAATGCAGTGGCAGAAACATTGATCAATAAACACCCTTGCTTACGAGAGCAAGGCTCGTACAATGGATGCAATGGGTGGAAAATAAGCCTCAAGTACAAGATGGCAAACTTTCGTACCAAGCTCAGAAGTGTCGGGTGTTCTGAGGTAAGCATAAATTCATTAAAGAACAAACAGCAAGATCAGTGCCACGCTGCTTCAAATATTAAGAAGCCTAGAAGAGCAGAAGTGAATTACTGCCCTCAGCATCCGAAGGGAGAAACTTCTGACAGTCTGGAGAAGGAACGAGTTCAGCTTTTGACAGAGATCAGAAAAAGAAACAATGACAAAATAGTCAAAGAGAAGATGGAAATAACCTTTTCATACAGAAGACAGGAAGTGGTTCAGAAGAAGCCAATGGTAGCAGAGTTTAAAACTCGATGGCCAGCTCTCTTTAATGTTGATGAAGTAAGTGTTTTTACATTTTTCCTTTAAATATAGACAAGTTCATTTACTTGAGTTTGTTAAACCTGAAAAATTAGAATAGCCAATGTACTTGACTTTTTTTGTTGCTTTTTTAACAGATCAATAATGAATTCATGAGAATTACAACAGTCCCACTGCGTTTCAAGTTTCTTGCTATGCTTGACAAATATTCAGACAGCTTGATGAAGATTTTTCACACTAAGGGCGGAGTCAATGGCCAAACAATAAAAAATCGCGAAATCGAAAGTGAAAGTAAACAGCGGCAAACGCTCATTCAAAAGAGATTTAAATACTCTGCATACCGAGAGCGGCTCCCTGATGCGCGAAAATTATATACAATATTAGAATATTTAAAACCCTCATCCGGCCCTCCCGAACCTATAACAAAAGTGTCCCTCGCGGGTCAAAATGACCCGAGGCCAAAAATAACAATAATTTTATTTTTGGTCCAGAAAGCTTATATTGGTCCATTTTTATTTATTTATTTTTTCTAATTTTTATGTCGGTTTTTATATAATTTTTTTTGTGATTTTTATTTTATTCACATTAAATTCTGGATATTTTTATGAAAATGTGCATATTTTTATAAATGTTTTCACCAAAAAAAACTATTTCTGCATATTTATACTTTAAACATGATGATCCATCAGGACCTAGGTCACTGAGTGTCTCTGATGCCTTCTGGTGGGGAAAAATTACATAAACTTGAATTTTATGATTACAGCCACTAGAGGGACCTATTGAATCCTATGGAGATTCTTAAATGAGCCAAACAAGTGAAATCTTTAAAACTAGACCAACTTGAGGTTTCATTAAGCTTTCAGATATATCTCAAGGCTTTCAGATATATATATATATATATATCAAAACATTAAAAAAAACTACATTTTGTAAAAAAAAAAAAAAAAATGAAATTGATACTGAATTTTAATCCAAACACATGCATATACATAGTTTCATAAATATGTAATAAATACAAAAGATAAATGTAAAAATATAAATATGATATAAACTCATTGGTCTCCACCCCATCACTCAAATTTAACTGTTAAGTTAAAAAAAAATTCAAAATGACAGTCATTTCCCAGCAGAAACATCATAAATGCTATAATGTGTTTCAATGGGAGTGTGTGTGCCATGTGTGTGTTTGTGTGTGGGTATGTGAGTTTTTTGTGCATTGGGGACATTCTGCAGTCTCAGCCCTTTGTTTTGGGTATGCATCTTTTCTGGATTGTGTCAGATTTTATATAGTTTAAAAAAAATAAAAACATGTTTTGTTTGGACATTCCATTAATTCCTATGGCAGGTCAAAATGACCCGCAAGGGACACTTTTGTTAGGCTACTTTTTTTATTACACCCACATAGAATCCTCTATATAATAATGAAAGAATAATTACATTATTCCTTTCTGACAGAGAACACCATTGACTGACTGCCAAACTTTTAATCTAAATCTCCCGATTCAGAGCATTTCAGTTGCACAGGATTACTTTTTACAATTGTAAAACACTTTTTACAAGTGTATATAAATTAATAGCCTATGGTCTTTTGGGGCAAGATAAAAGATCTATTGAATTCATTAAGGTGGGTATGTAATAAAGCTGCAAGCAGTGATTCCGGGGCCAAGGCCATTTAGGCCATTTTGGCATATTTGGACGTTAGATTTTATTTGGATTCTTTTAAACATCGCAAAGTTCCCATGGTTAAACACTTGCTACACTATTGAATTTGTAGAAAATGTTCAAAGCTATTGCCTTTTGATTTATATGGCATGCCACTGCACTAATACACTGTGGTTTGTTTAATTGTATAGAGACTTGAGTTGTTGAAGGTACAACTGCAGCAATTGGCTCCAAGTGACACAAAATTACATAAAGTTGTACCACACAAGACTAGAACCCACAATCTCTGGGTCTGGTGCTTGTCACACCTGTCATTACACCACTGAGAAGACATGGGTTCATGCAGATGCTGAAGGTCCATAATTCAAGTGACAATCAACTCAAAAATAAGATTTTATATATAAATGCACCAAATGTAGTACTTAATAAGCTCAGACGAGATCATACTTAGAAAAGCACAACATCTGGAAAAAAAGCAACTTCGGCATAATTTCTTGGCACAACATCTCTTGCGGTTTGGGCATGTGCCACCTTGGATTCGAACACACGACCTTAGAGGTTCAGGGCCAGTAGCTTAGCAAAGTGCACTATTTAGGTGACAGACATGCAACAGGCTGCAGAAGAGAGGTTTAGGTGTGAGAATGAGCTCAAAAACGCTTGACTTAGCATTCTAGCCAGATTAGCATGCTAAACTATATAATGCTAATGTAGCTTACGGTTAACCTGATAGCTGAAGAGACACATTAAAACGAATGGTAATCGACTGATGATTTTTGTGCAGATATGTCTAATGGTTCAAAAGATATAGCAATTTATGACAAATTTCAAAATGGCGGACACGTGGTTTATCCGATCCTTAGATTCGGCATGACCCAAGGAATCCATTGACACCAATATCATAATTTTCTGACTAATTGTTCAAAAGTTAAAAGTGAAAATGTGCATTTTTTGGTATCTCACGACCCATAGGTGGCACTGTTCCCAACTTTGTCATGGGCCCTCAGATCATGGTGTTGACGAAGGCCCAATCCCAATTCTACCCCTTAGCCCTTCCCCTTTCCCCTACCCCTCCGTTTCGCGCGTTCACGTGAAGGGGTGGTGGTGTCTCAATTCTCTTTTGGTTGGAGGGGGAGGGGTAGGGGTAGGGGAAGGGCCAGACAGCCCTTCAAACGAAGATTTTTCAGGACCACACTTCAAACGAAGGGGTATGAATTATCTCAGTGTAAACCGGCTTCAGGGGCAACATGGCTGCCCGAGCGAACAAAAAGACACATAAATGTAAGCATTTTTGGCATTAATAATTTAATTGGCATTTGTTTTAAGTTACATTCAATCGTGAGTTTATATTTATGGTCACTCAAAGAAATGTTTGCAAAAAATCGCTAATATTTGCTAACTAACGTCATATCATTATAGACTGCACAATAGTGCCACAACATATTTTCATGTCTGATCAGGGCTATAACCACATTGAGGGGGGCTAGTCCCCTTAATAATTAGAAATCGCTAAACCCTTTTCTCAAATATTGCCAATTCGAGAGAGAGAGAGAGAGATGCGCAACTGTGCGTTTCTCTTTTTAGAGTGAGTTTACTTAAAAAACTGCGATTTTATCCTCTCGTAGGAGCTAGACGACGTATGATGACTTGTGACGGCATAGTAGTGGTGCCCCAATTCTTAGGGGAATATTTTCACTGACACTCTGTTTCAAGGGACAAGGGGAAGGGGTAGGCAAGAGGTAGGGGAAGGGGAAGGGGTATAACATAGAATTGGGATTGGGCCGAAGTGTACCAAGTTTCGTTTTGATTGATCAATGTTTGGCCGAGATACAGCCTCTGAACCAATTTTGGGTCGACCTCGTTAAGTTCACAACTTCATAACTTTTGAACAAAGATTAATAAAAAAAACAATTGGTTTGGTAATTTCTGTGCAGCTCAGTCCAATGATCATCTGAGCCAATTTTGGGAAGAATTTGATCAATTTTGAAGGAGTAGTAGTGAAAAGACTATATCTCCCTTTGGAGTGGACTTTGAGATTTGAAACTTTCTAGATCTTTTTTATGCCCAAACATACACACTACACACTGACTAAAATTAAAAAAGTGAAAAAGCATAATAGGACCCCTTTATTAAAAAAAAAATTGGTTTGGTAATTTCTGTGCAGCTCAGTCCAATGATCATCTGAGCCAATTTTGGGAAGAATTTGATCAATTTTGAAGGAGTAGTAGTGAAAAGACTAGTACTTTGGCGGGGGCCCTCAGATCATGGTGTTGATGAAGCGTACCAAGATTGGTTTTGATTGATCAAAATTTGGCCGAGATACAGCCTCTAAACCAACCACAGGTGAACCTTCTTAAGTTCACAACATCATAACTTTTGAACAAAGATGAATAAAAAAAATTGGTTAAGTCATGTCTGTGCAGCTCAGTCCAAAGATCATCTGAGCCAATTTTGGGAAGAATTGGATCAATTTTGAAGGAGTAGTAGTGAAAAGACTAGTGGTGTATACTGTACTTTTCAAAATGGCTGCTACTGTAATGGGTGGAGTCTTAATGTAAGCTATTGAATGTGATCAGCATGAAGTGTGGAATCAGGTGTACTAAGTTTAATTTTTCTGGAATTAGGGGTTCAAGAGTTGTTACAATTTCAATGTTGAATTTTTGAACTGATGGTGGCGCTATAGAGTTAGTTCTAGAGACCCCAAAGTTGGTCAGATCACTAGTCATGGCCATCACTACAATTGTGCCAAATTTCTGAAAAATTGTGCCTATGTTCCCTTCATAGGGCTGCCAAAGAACCCCCATTGAGAAATAATAATAATAAAGTAAAACTACAATTACAATAGGGGCTACAGCCCTTTGGGCTTGGCCCCTAATTATTTATATAAGTAATTATGCAGGAAATATTAAACATGAACATATAAAGTTGGTAATGTTTGTAGAGTTATTTAATCACCCTCTGCTGAGAGCTTGAAAGATTAATGTTGTTTATTTCAGTTGATTTCTTCTAAGGCTGTGAAGAGAAGTCAGTTGTAGTTCTTGTGTTTCTCTTTCCTTCAGTGATTCTGCTTGCTAACAGCAGATATTCATCACCAATGCACAATCAGCACTTATTTAATCACTTAATTACTTGATTAACTTCAGCACTGCTGCAGTGTTATTTTAAATCTCTGTAATATGAACACTGAGCAGGATTAACACTGGGGATTTTTTCACAGTATGAAGCATAATTATTTATTTGGATTTCAGGATGAATATTTTGAAATTTGTAAGACATATGTTGAGGATCTGCCGATGTGATGTCATGAGCAATCCAGTTCTCCATTATAGATCAGTGGTTTATATAGAGTTTAACAAACAAACAAACAAACAATAAAAAAATTAATAAATTGGCAAAACAAAAAGGTGCAGATTATAAAGACAGAAAAAATGAGATCACAATACATATAAATGTATTATATTTATGTGTTTAAGATATTCAAGATATACAAGTTTACTTCATGTCTTAAATAAAGGAATGTGCTACAATCCCATGAAACATTGCAAATTGCAAAACCAAATAAAAGATGGAGAAACATAAAACAGCTTTCTTTCTTACCAAAAAGAAAAAATGTTTGGGCACAATTTGATGCATGTAATTCATCAAAGCTTTAATGACAGAATTAAATTCAAATGATTGGCTGTAGTAATGTGTCCGTATACAGCACGAAATTCACCAACATTTTTATCAGATAAACCTGTCAAATAAAAAAAATTAAAACATTTACAGTAATATTTTGAATCACTGAGACACACAAACATCAAGAATTACCATATGAATCTCAAAAATGATGACATGCTTCGTGCCACAATGCATTTTCGGAGCCATGGATTTTTGCATTGCAGCATGAAACGTGTGTCACCATTGTTGACATTCATATGCTGATTCTTGATGTTTGTGTGTGTCTTATTATCAAAGTAAAGGTGTTTAAAATTGATTTTGTGCACATTGTGTGATTGTTTAAATAAGTGAGTGACGTGAGGCCAAGTATGGTGACCCATACTCGGAATTAGTGCTCTGCATTTAACCCATCCGAAGTGCGCACACACACAGCAGTGAACACACACACACCCGGAGCGGTGGGCAGCCATTTTTTGCTGCGGCGCCCGGGGAGCAGTTTTGCAGTTGCTCAAGGACACCTCGGTCGTGGTATTGAAGGTGGGAGAGATCGCTGTACATTCAATCCCCCCACCTACAATCCCTGCCGGTACGAGACTCTAACCCACAACCTTTGCGTTACGAGTCTGACTCTCTAACCATTAGACCACGACTTCTTAATCTTTTGGACTGTCTTGTTAAAACAATGTTGGATCTTGCTGTATGAAATTAGTACCATATAGACTGGTGTAATGTCTCTTAATTTTTGGATTCAAATGAGACCAGTCTGTGTTTTTGAAACTGACATTTAAAAAGTTGTGACCAGTCTTGCAGAAAAAATAATTAATTAATTACAAAAAGCAGTTTATGCAACTGGCCTCTGGTAACCACTGCATTAGGGGGGGGAGGAAGAGCAATTTCCCACATGGTTTCTTAGCTTTGGAATAATCTTCTCAAACATACTGTATTTAGTCCAGACTGCCAGCCTATATACAGCTGAATTGTCCTAGTATCATTTGAATCTGCGAATGAAAGAAAACTGCGTAATTAAATAAAAAGTCTTAATGAAGACAAACATGGCATGAGGGGTTGATAAATTGATAGATAGATATTTAGTATTATATTTGGTAACACTTTATTTCGATAGTCCCCTTTAAACATTCTATTAGCAGTAAGTAACTTTGTAACTACATGTCAACTAGTAGTTAGTAGAGTATTAGTAGACTGTCTGCTTAATATCTTCTAACACTTTCTTTGTCAACTTATTCTACTAAACCTAAACCTACCCTGTCTACTCTGAGAGTTAGTAGACATGTAGTTGCAAATTAATGATAATTAGTTGACATGTAGTTGACATGTAGTTACACGTCTAAAGTGGACTATCGAAATAATGTGAGCATTATGGAGTATTAAATGCTCTCATGTAATGTCTGTTTCACAAGTGAGATTCATAGAACAAATATACTACAATGTACTACATACAGATCCAATATACAGTTATACTTGTGTTGTCTTTCACAATTGTTTTTCTTTTACTTCATAGCCGTCTGTGTTTACAAGAATATGTTGACATATTTTTGTGTGTATTTGTCCTTTCAAATGCAAAAAGACATGGAAAAGACATTTTTTGTTCTACTGAAAATATGCTTGGAGTCTACACTTTTATGTGCATCTGAATATGATTGACAGAAAAATAATGGTTTATCTGTCAGTCAGATGCACGTAAAAATGTATGCGCTCTTATTCAGTGTTGTTGCTAATGTTGAGGTTATTTCAGCTTCGTACAGAGTTTTCTTCATACATTTAGTCTAAATGCACTGTTAAAGAAGGCAAGCTTTACCATTCAACTCAACTGTGTGCATGAATTTATAGGCACTTACATTGTTCTTGCTCTGTGCATGCAATTACTGTGTCCTTCTATAAACCGTGTTTTCTATTGACTTAAACTGCACAGGTAAAAATGACAATTTACAATTACAAATTAAAATCAGAGCATAGCTCACTTATATTCACTAAAATATTGAAACATTAACAATATTGATTCAAAACTCCAATGCCAGTAATTGACAGTCAAAGCAAAGCGTGGTTTGAACACCCCGCTCCCCAGCTGAACTGGAAGTTTTGATTGGTTTTGCACCCGAGTCAGACCTGTCTGTTATTGCCTGCGCACTGGGCTCTACCCCAGTAGGTTGAAAATTACCTGTCAAGCGCCAGCTCTCCCTCTTTCTCCATCGGCACCTTTGTCTGTTTTGTACTTGTACTTTTGGTGAAAAATAAATGTGGCAAATTCTTTATTTAAAAAAAAAAAGAAAAGTAGCACAATTTAATTATACTCAAGAAAGTAGAAAATAAATTTGAAAAATGTACCCAAGTACTGTAACAAAAGTATTTGGAATTAGTTACTTTCCACCTCTGTAAAGAAGTCTGTCTTTTAAGGCTGGAGGATCTGTGTAAAACCTTAAATCCTGTTACCAGAAATAGTTCCACTTCATACTTTTTTTGTCATTTATGTCAACTTTGTAGACTGCAGAATCATGTAGTTTCAAAAGTCTAGCTATAAAACTTAAATATTACACATATTAGCAGAAGTCTGGTGTGAAATGATTAATAACCCTGTCTGTACAAAGTTAAATTTACATCACTAAAGGTATGTGTTGGTAGGTATGTATGAACATATAAGGAACATATACAGTATAATTGGAACATATTATATTATTAGTGGAAGAGGTTCTGCAGTCCAGTAAAATGCACATTTTTCTTCATAATTATTTGCTTTACATTAAAAAAAAAATTAAGCTTAAGACTCGTACAACTCAAATGTTACACACACTCTCCTGTCTCCCTTAAAAGTTAATATAAATATGAGTATTCATTTATTCATTAATTTAATTTAACCAGAAATAAGGAAGAAGGCTACATATTCACAACATGACATGAATGTACAGTTAATTGAAGTGAGATACTTGCTCTGATAGTTACGCTCTATTAACAGTATGTGTAATGTTTAATGAAAAACCGAAACCTCCTCTAAATAATATACTTTGACTAATCATACATGGCGGAAGAACTTTACAGATTATTTTCATTACTTTCTTATAGCAGGCCATCATTGAATCAACACTGATTCAATGTTGACATTGATTTCTCATCAGGTTTTTTCACCCTAAAATAATGTTATTTCATTGATGAAAAGTCGAACAGAAGGACATACCATCACTTCAATTATATAACATAATTTACTTCAATTAAATCACTTACATTGGATCAACATTGAAACAATATCAAATCAAACTTGCTTTATGTACAGCAGGATTCTATACCAGTAAGTCTTTCCATTTTCACTTCTTTCAATCAGAGACCATGTAAAGCTGAAATTAACATTTGGCATATTTACACTCACCTGTTGACAGAGTGTGTGATGCATAGGCCACAGTTTGTTCAACACCATCTGGCCTGACCTGAGAGAGTATGGTTCCAGACTATAGTAGTCAGAAGCATCTGTGGAGACAATGGTGTGTAGTGTGAGGCGAAATAATTTTAAAGCAGGGCTATTTGCTGGCAATAGTTTTATGGCAGTCAAACTTTGTTTAGCCTCTTTTGACCAGCTGAATCCACGTGGATCTTATAGGCATGCACACACTGGAGCTACAACGCTGGCAAAATTAGGTATAAACTACTGTACCATGGCATAAGTTAGAGTAAGGAGTGCAAAGTAGATGCATCAGAAGGTGTTGCCTGTACACATTACTCATAAAGAAGAAGACCTTCCACTGACAAAGTATGATCTAAGAGCAAGAGACTGTAAGCTACACTTGTCTTTATTGAGCTGCAAGCCAGCAGCTTCTAATTGCTGCAAGACCGTATAAAGTCCTTTGTCGTGCATAGACATGTTACATCCATGGATGATCGTCCAGGAAATTTTCAACCCCTGACATCTTCTGGAATGCCACAGGTGCTGAAACCAATCCATAAAGAACATGACAAAAGCAGAACAGTCTGTTGTGAGTAATAAAGGCCATGAGATCATGGCTGTCCTTATGCAGCGGCACTTGGTAGTGAAAACAGTAGAACCTTCTAGAGCAGATAGTAGTTTGTCCATGTCTGGCAATGGAAAAGAGTCCATGATCACTGCTTTTTTGGCTCTCTGAGGTCAACACAGATCCTAATTTCA